TTAGCTGTTGCTAGGCTAGTTGCTAGGGGACTGCTGAACATTATCACAGGCAGGTGGCCAAAGTACATCTTGTGGTTTTTCTTGGAACTAGAGTTCATGTCCAGGCCACCTTACTCTAAGATGGGGCCAAATTTTAAAATGGAGTCAGTCAGGCCTCACATACTCCTCTTATTGATGGAAGGAATATCAAAGAATTTGTGATTATCTATGCACAACAATGTATGATAAGCCGTAAGTTTGACTAGTAGGTATATGCTGTAGAGTGGAAACTCTTGGACATGTTGGAAGATGGGTATAACAATATTTATAGCAGCATTGTCCATACACAATAGAATGAATAATTTATAGCATGTTCATATGTGGAATCTCATATAGTAATAAAAATAAAGTATACTTACTTGGACCAACATGGATAAATCTCCAAACAATGTTTGAAAAGAAGCAAATCCTAGAACAACATGTACTACGGGCTGGGGGTTTAGCTCAGTGGTTCCCCTGCCTGCCTCACAAATGCAAGCACCCGAGTTTGATCCCTGGTACCAAAAAAAAATGTACTGTATGATTCTATATATAAAGTTCAAAATTAGGCAAAACCAAAATGAGGGCTGGGGATTTAGCTCAGTGGTTCCGCTGCCTGCATTGTAAGCGCAAGGTCCTGAGTTTGATCCCCAGTACCAAAAAAACCAAACCAAACAAAACAAAATGAAACCCATTAATCTGCATAACCAGATTGCAATAATAAAAAAAATGAAACAAACAAAAAACCACAACAAATCCAAAACAAACAAAAAGGCAAAGAGAACAGTTGGGTTCTTGAGAGAAGACAGCTCCAAAGACCTATAATTCTAGTTAAATGTGAATCTCTAAGAGCTTTCTAAATTGGGTTTGTAATAATCCAAGGGTGTATGCATGTTCCTAAGGCTGCAATGTGGGCTGGGGATTTAACTCAGTGGTTTCGCCACCTGCTGTGCAAGTGCAAGGACCCAAGTTTGATCCCAGGTACCAAAAGAAAAAAAAAAGTGGTGTACAAATAATTATTTATGGACCAGGGATTTAGCTCAGTGGTTTTGCCGCCTGCTGTGCAAACGCAAGGACCGGAGTTCAATCCCTGGTACCAAAAAAAAAAAAAAAAGGCTAGCTTTACCTAAGGCTCCAATGTGTAGAGCTAAGCATTTAGGGATGTGACATGTATTAATAATGACACAAAATATTTCCTTGGAAATTTCCACTGTGAATCCATAAAATATCTAAAAAATTTCTCTTTTGAATTCTTCTGGGGGGTCATTTATAATTTTTAATGAAATTAATGCCTGATCTTTGCTTTTGAACTGTTTCTACTGTATTTCATAGGCTGATTTGTAGACCAGCACCTGGAACTCCATAGACTTGAGAATTTATTTCTCCTCAGAAGTTAACAGCTTTTTATTTTTGGCAAAAATGTTCTATATTTATGTCACCCCAATAATATCAATTTTCTCTTGTTGAAAATTATCAGATAAAGGAAAGGTGATATTTTATTTATTTATTTATTTTGTACCGGAGATTGAACTCGGGTCCTTGCGCTTGCACAGCAGGCGACGAAACCACTGAGCTAAATCCCCAGCCCAGGAGAGATATTTAAAAATTAGGTAAAATCTAAACAATATATTGCTTAGTACATGGCTAGGTAGGATTTTTCTATAAAGAGCCATTAGTAAATATTTGGCTTTGTGAGCAGAGGCAAAATTGGAGATACAAGTACTTATATAACAAGAGAGAAAACCAATGCCTATAATTTTGTGTTGATATTCAAAATAATAGGTACCTTTTGTAATACAAGGTCTGCTAATGAGAAGAATGGAATTCTATTTTGGAGGTGAAGGGATTGTATAATAGTTTCCTAGGCTGCTGTAACAAAGTACTGTACCACAAACTGGGTGGCTTAAAAAAAACTTAGTCTCTTACAGAGTTCTAGAAGCTAGAAATCTGAAATTAGGTTTCCAGAAGGTCTGTGCTTCTGAAATCCTGGGTAGGGTCAGATTTGGCCATAGTTTGATGACCCTGGTTTAGGCATAAATATACAGGTATTAGTAATAATGTAAAATAAGGGAATAAACAGTGATATTTTAGGTAGTTTTTACTTTGTGGGTTGGGGGCAGGAAGGTGGATAGAGCAGGAGAGGAAAAGATGAATGATTTCTGGGTTATTGGTTTCTTGGCTCAGTAAGTTCATCACTGCTTATTTTGATTTTGTTTCTTAAGCTTTATCCTATACCTATGAATATTTATACATTCATTTTACATGTTTTTTGTATGTTTGCTATTTCACCATAAAAAATCCCTACCTCTCTGTCCCTTCCCCCATCTTTACTTTTCTTTCTTCTTCCCAAAGTGGTTATTATTCCTTGTTTTAAAACTGCTTCTCCTTTTACTTCTTATCCTGCCTCAGTATAATCCTCCAGGTTTTGGCAAGAGCTTTATGTTCTTTCATTAGCAAGCCTGGCTGTTTATTGCTTTGCTCTTTGTCATTGTCACTTTTTCATCCTCCTTCAGCAAATATAAGTATATAAAAATATTTGCCCTTAGAAAGTAAACATGACAGTATGCTTCCCTCCCTGATGTTTTCTTCTCACTTAACAACTATGTAGAGAGTTTAAAGTTAAGATGGATATAAAGAATGAAGTGGTCAGAGGGAACTGTATGAGTTTCCTATTATGTCTGATCAACCCTCAGCTCTTTTTGAGCCTTCTAGGTTTGCTTAACAACTTTACTGAGATGTAATTCACACACAAATCAATCCACCTATTTAAAACACACAATTCAGTGGCTTTTAAGATATTCACAAAAATCATCACTGCTGTGGTGTTTGTGTTTGTGTGTGTGTGTTTGTGTGTGTGTGTGTGTATGTATATATGTATGTATTGAGAGACAGTCCTGGGGATTGAACCTAGGGCTTCCCATGTGATAGGCAAGTACCATTGAGCTACATCCCTAGTCTATTTTATTTTATTTGGGGGGGGGGCTCTCCTTAAATTGCCCAGGCTGGCCTTGAACTTGTGGTCCTCTTCTCTTAGCCTCTTTAGTAGTTGGGATTACAGTCATGCACCACTATCCCTGGCCATAACCAATTTTAAAACATTCTCAGCATTCCAAAAAGAACCACCCCCCAAGCTGTCATCTTCCAGCTCCTCCCATTCCTAGCTCTAGGCAACCACTGATTATATGGCTCTATAACATGTGGTTCTTTGTGACTGCCTTCTTTCATTTAGTAAAATATGTTCGGTTCATCCATATTGTATCATGTATCAGTGTTTTTTTCCTTTGTATTGCTGAACAGTATTCCAGGATATACCATGTTATCAGCTTCCCAAGTAAGTTCTGGAATTGCAGGCATGCACCACCGTGCCTGGCTTGTGAGCATCTACTGAACAATTATTTATTTTTAAATGATATGTGTTATGTTTTTATTGTGGAAAACTTGAAAAGTATTAAAGAATATAAAGAATATGGTAAATTAATGTGTGATTTCACTACTCAAAAATAAGCCTTATTATTTGGTCTGGTGGTGCAGGCCTGTAATTCCAGCTCTCAAGAAGGCTGAGGCCAGAGGATTCAAGTTCAAACTCAGCCTAGGCAAGACCTTGTCTCAAAAAATTAAAAAAAGGCTGGGGATATAGCTGATATAGTGAAGGACCTGGATTCAATCATAATACTACCCACTAAAATTTTTTTTACTTCATGTTTGAGCAGATTTTGTTTGCCAGATCACAAAAACACTGGCCAACTGCAATTGTCATGAATAATTTCTAAGTCCTTGTGCAGTGGGAGGATCGTGATTGTGTAGCCACAGTATAACATGAGCAGTGAGGGAAGGGTAGAGAAAATCTCACAGAGGATGTAATGAAAGTGTACTTGAGCTCCCGATAATGATGAGTGAATGAAGTATTGACGTTTCTGATATTTTTCTGCTCTGTTGTAGGAAACTAGCAGGATGTACGATTTTCATCACTGGTGCAAGCCGTGGCATTGGCAAGGCTATTGCCTTGAAAGCTGCAAAGGATGGAGCAAATATTGTCATTGCTGCGAAGACTGCCCAGTCACACCCCAAACTTCCGGGCACCATCTTTACTGCTGCCGAAGAGAGTAAGTGTGACCTTCCCCATTTCATCAAATGCCCTCACAATGGTTTCAATCCATAATTTGCTGAGAGTTGAGTTTGAACTACCTGTGTTTCCCTGAAAATAAGACCTAACTAGAGATCAAAAATGCCAGCCCCAAGCAGCCTATCCTTGCCTTCCTTGCCATTACAGAGTAGCCACTGGTAAGAGAATAGTGAGGTACAATCTTCTGTGTGACATTGGGCATCACCATGGTAATGACCTGCTATAATTACAGCTGAAGTTTATTTTCCAGTTAGGTCTTCTTTTTAGTGAAAAGCATATTTGAAAGCTACTCTAGAGCCAGGCATGGTAGCACATGCCTGTTATCCCAGCACTCGGGAGACCGAGGCAGGAGGATTGCCATGAGTTTGAGGCCAGCCTGGGCTACATAGTGAGTTCAGGGCCAGCCTGAACTACAAAGGGAGACCCTGCCTCAAAACCCCCCTACTCTAAAAATAAAGAAGTATTTGTCTTGTTTTAAAGAGTATTTTGTGCTGGGGATGTAACTTTGTGGTGCTGTGCCTGCCTGGCAAAGTGCAATGTCTTGAGTTCAATCCCTGGTACTAAAAAAAAAGTGTTTATTTTACTCAAGAGCTGGAGTTGCTTTTTTTCTCTAGCATTTTTAAGTGATATGAGAGGCTCCAGTTAAAAATTATGTCTCAGGAGGGCAGTGGTTCTGGGATGGGAGGGGGATAGAGTGGAAGTGGAGAGACTATTTGAAGGGGGTGGTGTGAACATTTTGGAAAGGCTTTTCTATGTTATTTAGTATACATGCTTCACAAGTCATTATTTTAATATTTTTAGTTGATATTTATCCAGTCCTTCATTATGCTAGGCACAGTGCCAGGAGAAAGGGCTTACAACTTCAACTTTAGTTAATAGTGCTAGTTCTGTTAGATTAATAGCATTGTGGTTATATTGGAGGAATGTACATGAAATGCTTATGAGAGAAATGATGGTGAAGATTATTTTAAAATACACAAACAGAATATGAGAAGGGGAAGATAAATTGGCAAAACTGTAACAATCAGCTGAGTGCAGCACTGCATACCTATAATCCTGGCACTCTGGGAGGTTGAGGCAGGAGCATTGAAAGTTCAACCCCGGCTTGGACAAATTAGTGACTAAGTGAGACTGTCTCAAAAGATAAAAAGGGCTGCGGATGTAGATCAGTGTGAAGGTCTTGGGTTCAATCACTGACACTGCAGCAAAATAAAACAAACAAAAAACAAAACAGTAACAATCATTGAAAATAGGAGATTGATTAATGATACTTTTAAAAACTGTTCTTTGTGGAAGCTGAGCCAGTCCCAGCACTCAGAAGGAAGCTCCCCTGTCACCATCCCACGCTCCTAGGGCAGAGAAGCTGAGCCAGTCCCATCACCTGGAAGGAAGCTCCCCCGCTGCCATCCCACGCTCCTATGGAAGAGAAGGTGAGCCGGTCCCAGCACCCAGAAGGAAGCTCCCTGATGCCATCCCAAGCTCCTAGGGCAGAGAAGGTGAGCCGGTCCCAGCACCCAGAAGAAAGCTCCCCGCCGCCATCCCAAGCTCCTAGGGCAGAGAAGG